TGTTCAGTGCACCCAGTGGTAATGTGCTGAGCATCTGGCACACTAATAGTGTTACTCAAAAGGTTAGTGGACACATGATGGCACTTTTCTTGTAACGATAACTTACCTTTCCCCACCGGACCCACGCAGCGCGGCTTCCTCTTCCCATATTCCGGGAGGCGGCTCAGTCCTTCTGATGCCGGCCGCTCGCAACACGCCCATTTTTATGACGCGCGCATGCGCGCCAACGTCAGCAAAATAGTGCCGCCAATATTCAAACGTGGCCACGCTCCCAGACCTCTTGGGGGCGTGGCTTTAAAGCTAAAGATCCCACACTATAAAAAGGCAACCATGGCACTTGTTAGGCGCCCTAATGTGGTTCTTCTCTGAGTCCTCTAGTGCTCTTTATATTCTGATTGTCTTTTTTGGTATTTGACTCTTGGCTTCCACTCTGACTATTCTGTTCTCTGGTTTCCCATTATTTTGGCTTGGATTATCGTGTGCCCGTCTTCTGTATTCCATTGACCTCTGGCTATTCCTTTGACTACTCTCAGACGCAAGTCCGGCCACTCTAAGGTCCGGTAAACGTCTTCCTCTAGGTTTCACTCTGTGTGAAGGGGTCACTGTCGTGACATTTCTGTTGTGATATGTGTATTGTGAGTTTGTGACGAGTTGATTTAATGTGGTACTATTTTAATGTACTAAACTGAGCTTTTGAAATGTTCTAAGTTTATTTGTTTATTGCATGTGAATTTTGGAGATGTCTTTGTAAACTGTCACTTTACAATAAATGTTGCACTGTATGTTCTGAGAAATATATATGCATACGAGCGTATCATTTTTTTTGGGGGGGTGAGGGTGGTGGATCTTGGGTGAGTTCCCACACTTTTTTCCCCAGGACTTGACCCCTGGTTGTAAGCCCCGTGACAAACTCCTGCTACCCACCTCGGCTGAGGGCTGATCAGGACTTGATCCCATCACAGCCTCAGATCCTGAATACAGCTTAGGTGGTAACTTTTGTCCATTCACATGTTTATAACCCATTAAGCCCAGTATTTACTTTTGTTATGCTTAGATACTCCGATAGGTTGGCCTACCCAGATCAATGCATCATCTTGTAACTTATGTCTGACCTAGCTTGTTTTCTTTTAATATTACATTCTTAGACATTAGTCAGCATGTTCTCTTTTAGCTAGGATAACCTTATGTCTAGCAATTTAATTTACCTGCAAGCCTTCCATGGCAGCTAGGTCTAGACAGTTCAGTTTAGCTTGTTATTAAGCCTGTTTTTCTCTTATCATTTTCATTTAAAAAGAAAAAAAGTGCAGAATATCTTGACTTCTCTTGTCTTGCTCTTGTTACCCTACATCATGTTCTGTATCATCCCTAAAGCGTGTATCTAACTCTGTCCTTCCAAAAATAAAGAATGAAAAAAAAATCATTGTTGCTATAGTATTACTAAAAAAAAGAATAAAAAAGAGAACAGCCTAGTAAAATACTTATACATATGGAGATTTATCAACCGCAAAGCAAAGAATATACTGACTAAGGTCTGTTCTGAGAATGCCTCATTAATTTCCTTCTTTTCTCATCATAAAACAGTATTTTTTTTTTTATATATATAATAAAGTTGATAGTTACATAACTGTTCCATCAGGATTTCAGAACAACATTCACCGGCATAAAACCTGTAGATCAAGCATGTCAAACTCAAAGTCTAGCACGGGCCAAATAAACAAGGTTTAAGTTTAATATTGGGCAGACTAGATGGGCTGAATGGTTCTTATCTGCCGTCACATTCTATGTTTCTATGTTTCTAAGTTTATGTGGGCCGCAAAAAAACAAAACTTAAATTTTCATAGAAATGTGGGTTTAGTTTAAAATGTACAGTATAAAAAACCTCCCAGCATGCCCCTCTACTAAACCACAGCACCCCCTCTATTAAATCCCAGTCCCCCACCATTTACTAAATCCCAGTCTTTGCCCTATGCTAAATCTCAGTCTCAGTCTGCTAAATGCTAACACTCCTCTCTAGCCAACAAACAGACTCCACTCACATTGCCGCTGCCAGTATGCGACTCCGGAGTCCGGCCTCTGGTATACCCCGTCTGCACCCTGTGCCGAAGCGGATCCTCCGCTACTTCTTGAAACCCTGTGAAGGTGGAGCACGTCGACGTCACGTCGGAATGTGACGTGGAGTTGTGTGCCTCTGTGCACCTCCAGGTCCTCCACTTTCCAGCCGCGGCCATCGCAACACTGACTGACACATACACACTCACTGACAGACACAGACACACTCACTGACAGACACAGACACACTCACTGACAAACACAGACACACACACTCACTGGAACGCACACACACACACACACACACTGATAGACACACAAACACACTCACTGACACACACACAGACAGACACACACACACACACACACAAACAGACACACACAGACACACACACTCACTGACACACAGAAATACACAAATACTCACTGACACACACACACAGACACACACATGCTCACTGGCGGACACACACACTCACTGACAGACAGACACACACACTCACTGACACACACACACACCGACACACACACACTCACTGACAGATACACATAGACAAACCCACTCATTGGCAGACACACACAGACAGACACACACACTCACTCACTGACAGACACACACACACACACACACAGAGAGACAGACACACTGACAGACAGACACACACACTGATGCACACACACACACACACAGACACACACACACACTCTCACTGACAGACAAACACTCGCTCACTGACAGACACACGCAGACAGACAGACACACACACATATTTACACATTCTTGCACACACTCACATCATTTTATTTATTGCTCCCTACCTTTAGGAGCTGGTGTGGGGTCCAGTGGGGATCTTCTATCTGGAGATCTCCTTCCTGCTCCTCACTGCTCCCTGACGCATGCAGTTTAGTGATGCCGGGTGCCAGAATAAGACATCATATTCCGGCACCCGACGTTACTATAGACGGCGCCTGCGAGGGAGCAGGAAGACTGAGCTTCTCCAGTGACCTCTCCGAGTCCCGGACGGGTAAATTTAAGCAGAGTAGGCACCTGCAATGTGTAGAAAGCAGGTGCCTACTCTGCTTTAACACTTAGCATGTACTCGCGGCTCGCTAGGCCTCAAAGATGTTCATTGTGGGCCGCATGCGAGTTTGACATGGTTGCTGTAGATGAATGTTGAATTGTAACCATAATTTTTGTGCTTACCGTATATAGAATATTAGTTTATACCTGTGTGTTGGGGATTACTAAACTATTTTATATTAATTAAGATGTACTTGTAAATGCCAGAAATTATAGCAAGTCTTTCCTCCTATACAAGGAATTATTCACTGTACGGTGAATCACGGTGAATTGAAAACTAAATCTGCTAAATTTAAGACACAGCCATTGAGCAGGGAACAAAATGAGTTGAAGATCATCAATCACAACTATTTTGGCTTAAATGAGGCACATTCATTTTAATTTGGATAAGAGGCATTCATTAACTGTAGCATACATAGACTTGAATAAGAATAATTCATTATCATTACATGCTTTAATTTATATTTATTGTATGTATCATATTATAAATGATATCCTCTGTATTTTTATTTTTTATTTTTTTTCAAGTCAGCTTTCTGTTAACAGATGTATAACCCGTCTCTAAATACTGCTGTGTAATCAAGCCAATGTGGCTTCTAAACTGCCGAATGGGGTGACAATTGTGCCGACAGGTGTTGTTGTTTGCTGTTTGGCATCAGCAACAATATCTTTGTTTATTGTTGGTCTTTCATCCTGCTGATTAGCGCTTGACATCAGCTCTTTCCATCAGCTGTGTCAATCAGCCCAAGCAATGAGCAACGTCCACAGAAAAGACAGACAACATAAGAAGAGCAAATACAAGTAACCGATCTGCGTAGGATATTGTAAGCCTGCTCAAACATTGAGCTGGATCCAAAAAGAGAAAATACAAAAATAGAGTTGGAGCAGTCTCCCAGAATGTTTAATTGGTTTCTATGGTGATTGTACTAGCATTTCTCACATTATATATAATATATATAATGGCAATTCTTTTTTCCCTCTATGTTCTAGTCACTGGGAAGGATTTAAATCCCCAGCTGGATTTTGATTGGCTGTAAAAAATGCTGTGTGCTCCCTATTGAGATCTATCAATGCATACTGTATAATTATTAGTAATTATCCCTGTATAAATCATTAATTAAATGGTATAAGAGATATAACGTCTCCTAACAGTGTACTATTCATCGGGTAGTAATAATATCTATAATATCCATTTCTTAGAAAGGGGGCCCGCATATCCATGACAGTATCTATCTATCTGTCTGTCTGTCTATCTAGCGTGTATAGTTACTGTAGCAAGATTCATTTGTTAAGGCCATTCCCTTGGGACCTTATGCACCATTTGATCCAGGATAAGAGGTTTTTAGGTAATAGTTTTTAGGCTTTATCAGGGCTTAAAACGGTTATCGAAATGATACCTAGAGGGCAGCATTCAGGTTTTAAAGTATTTTTCTTTGTTGCGGAGATGACATTGTACCAGTAATAACCAGTGCATCTAGTTTATCAATATGTCCAGACTTATAATGTAGCCATTAATCACTGTCATCTTCACTATACCATGGCTTTGCTATACATACATTCTATATGACTGTGCTTTTTCACATGAATGTAGCCATGCAGGCTGACATAACAACTTCTACAGGCATTCAAACATGGAGATACCCCGGAGTAATATGCAATCTTGTTTCAGTTACTGGTGTATCAGATTAATAAACATCATGATTATATAGAGAATATATATATATATATATATATATATATATATATATATATATATATATATAAATAAAAAAAACTTACTACTTCTGGCACTCTTCCCCAACAAAATCTCAAGCACAAAAATTCAGACCAAGGTGCTTTCTCAGTGCAAAATATATAATCCAGGAAAATGAGAGCACTCACTGGGTTTATACAAAATGTGTATTAAATTTTAGACAAAATACATCTGTATTTTGTCTAAAATTTAATACACATTTTGTATAAACCCAGTGAGTGCTCTCATTTTCCTGGATTATATATATATATATATATATATATATTTTAATTGTGAAAAATAAGCATGTGTTTTTCCATTATAAAATATTAAACTGTTTCTGAAAAGTAACCTCATTTTCAATTCCCGGGTAGTGTGTGTGAGATTCTCTGTGTAAGAGTGTAAGAGCTTAATCGGTTAGTATAGAAGTAAGGCTTGGTTAATAGGTATAAATGTTTATTAATACCAACATGATTAAAATTGAATGAAAAACTTGAAGCTTGACAGATAGATAAAGGCATAGATAGAGCCATTTAAATAAACGATGGACATTTTATCCAGTGACATTATAGATCATGTAAATTCAATGGTTTTTGAGCCTCTTAGGCTTGTCAGTTAATTGCTAGGACTTTGGGTCAAAATATTCTTCTCTGAGCAAATTGAGTAATATATCGTTTTACATGTTTCTGCCCTTTCTTCTTAAAGGGATACTGCAGACCCGTAGAGCAATTTAATTTGCTGAAGTGCTTTCTGCGGGAAGAGTGAGTGCTCTTTATGTCATTTTACAAAAAGAGAAGATTTAAATAGTAATTGGCACGTTTATTAATGAACCTTGTTACACCCCAATGACTGACAGCCCTGCTACTTCCTGGTTTGGTTAGCTCAATGGAGCTAAATTCAAGAGGCAGCAATTGCTCAGAACACCTGACTTGCGAAGACTTCTTGTTAAGACACCTCCCGTGTCTTTAAGCCAAACCGCCGTTTAGTAAACCTTCCCCAGCTGCAGTACAGTCTCTGTTCGCTTACTCTGTAACCCACGAACCAAATGCAGGGGAAGCGACAATCTCCCGATCGAAATCCACGAACGGCTCCAAACTCCCGAACGGCAATATACGAACTGCTAGGAACCGTCGAACAATAATATCCCCAAAGCGGCTTTCGTTCCATCCAGCAGTCTCTAACCGTGAAGAAGAAATCCCCCCAATAACGAGACAGAAGCTCCGCATTGAGGGTCAAATAAGATCTGGTTTTACTGTGGGCTACCTGCCCGTATTTATGCAGGTCTCCCACCTGGTGGACACTCCCCTAGGGGACCAAATGGAAGACTTAAATTACAGACAGATAGAAGGACATTTCTGACACACAGTCACATCTCTTACCCACAGTGCATTCTGATTCCCTCCCCTCTGTCCTGGAGTTAATTACCAAGTAACTCAATTAACTCCAGGACAAGGACAGTCGCCATCTTAAACATAAAATAATAAAAGACATAAAAATGCATAACTACATGAAAACTGAACATTTCCCATTCGTATTACATGTCCCCAGATAGCCTGGATCTGAGTGCATATTATTAGCGAATAGCGCTCAGATCCCACACACATAGTTCAATCGCCATGGAGTCAAAGTTCTTACAGTCTTTCGGTATACGAATGACTCCATGGGAGGGCTATCTGGGTTAAGTCTTTTGTATGCTCTCAATCTCCCGAACGGCCGGTGTTCGCATGCTTTCGTGGAGGCAGCCAGGCGTTCCCTTGTTTCAGCGGTGTTCGGCAGAAAAAGTGTCCGTTTTCAGTTCCATAGAAATAGAGCCAAACACCGCTGAGCGTTCGCATGATTTAAAATGGCCGCTGCCTCGTGGTCGACATACGAACGACGACCACCCTGAGTTCGGTTTAATTGAGAAGTGTCTGCGGTTAACCACAACGTTATAATGGTGATCACTTCGTTAACCTGCAGCACACTCCTCACTTGGGTGGCCGTTCGTTCGGCGGTTTTGTTCGGGAAAAAGAGTCATTCGAATGGCTGGGCTATAGAAACCAGCCATTCATACGAACGGGGACAAACAGACGAACGGGCAAAAATCCAGCAGACAGATGGTTCTGTCACACGGCTCCCTCCTTGTGGGACACTCCGGCAGACCCGGCTTGACCCTGTGGCGGGTCAACTTGGGGATGACCGGACTACGAGGTGATGGAAACGTCTGTTTGTCGTGACAACCCATCTGCATTTCCGTTTAGCTTACCGGGTCTGTAGCTGATAGTAAAATTGTAGGGCTGTAGTGCCAAGCTCCATCTCAGCAGTCTCCCATTGTCTCCTGAGACCCGGTTAAGCCAAACGAGTGGGTTGTGATCAGTCACAAGGGAAAACTCTTGCCCATACAAGTAGGGACTTAACTTTTTCAATGCCCAGACCAAAGCCAAACACTCCTTCTCCACTGCCGCATAACTCACTTCTCTGGGTAACAACTTTCTGCTGAGATATGCGACAGGGTGCTCTCCTCCATCTTCCCCGACTTGGCTCAGCACAGCCCCCAGTCCATACATGGAAGCATCTGTATGGACGAGAAAGCGTTTGTTAGGGACTGGGGCAGCCAAGACAGGGGCATTCACAAGAGCCTGCTTCAGTGCCTGGAACGCAGCTTCACAAGCCGGAGACCACAGGACCTGCTTAGGCAAGTTTTTCTTGGTCAGATCTGTCAGGGGCTTAGCGATAGCGCTGTAGTCAGGGACAAAGCGTCTGTAGTACCCTGCCGTCCCCAAGAAGCCCAATACCTGGGTCTTAGTAGTAGGTGTGGGCCAGTTAGCCACTGCCTCTACCTTGGCTGGCTCCGGTCTCTGGCTCCCACACCCCACTCTGTGACCCAGGTACTGTACTTCAGCCATACCTAGATGACACTTTTCTGGCTTCAATGTCAGGCCAGCGGCCCTAATCTTATCCAGCACTACCCCTACATGTACCAGGTGTTCCTCCCAGGACCCACTGTAGATCGCAATGTCGTCCAAGTATGCACAGGCAAATTCTTGGAAGCCATCCAGGAGTCTATCCACCATCCGTTGGAAGGTAGCCGGTGCATTTTTCATCCCAAAAGGCATGACCTTAAATTGGTACAGGCCAAATGGGGTGACAAATGCCGACTTGGGGATAGCATCCTCGGCCAGGGGGATCTGCCAGTAGCCCTTACACAGGTCTATGGTGGTCAGATATCGCCCCCTGGCAATACGATCTAGTAATTCGTCTACCCGGGGCATTGGGTAGGCGTCAGTGGTGGTCCGCTCGTTGAGTCGCCTGTAGTCCACACAGAACCGGGTGGTCCCATCTTTCTTTGGCACCAGGACTACAGGCGAGGCCCAAGGGCTGTCGGAGTGCTCGATAACCCCAAGTTGGGTCATCTCCTGTATCTCCTTCCGCATTCCTTCACGGACTGCTTCAGGGATACGGTAGGGGGGCTGTCGTAACGGGGTCTGTCCAGGGGTCTCTACCTTATGCACAGCTAGGGTGGTATAACCTGGTTCCTGGGAGAACGTCGCCTGCTTCTCCCATAACAACTGCTGCGCCTGTACCCTTTCTGTGGGGTTCAACCGGTCCCCTAGCTGTACAAGGGTAGTAAGGTCAGTCTGGGAATCCCTTTCTAATAGATCTGGAAGGGGTAAGTTCTCAGAATCATCTGCAGCTGGGGCACATACTGCTGCAATATTCTCAGGTCTCTCCTGGTACTCTTTCAGCATGTTCACATGAAAGGACCGCTGGATCCTCTCATCTGCACAGCTGGCTATCAAGTAAGTAGTGTCGCAGATCTGCGCCACTACCTTGTACGGGCCCTGCCAAGATGCCTGCATCTTGTTGGCCTTCACAGGTTTAAGCACCAATACTTTTTGCCCAACCTGGAAGACCCGCTGTCGGGCACCCTGATCGTACCATCTCTTCTGTCTCCCCTGGGCCGCCTGGAGATTCTCCCTTACCATCAGGGACAGTTTCTCCATGCGGTCCCGGAGTTCCAAAACATATGGTACTATGGGGATCCCTTCCTGCTCCGTCTCCCCCTCCCAGTGGCCTCTAATGAGATCTAGGGGTCCGCGGACCCTTCTCCCATACAGCAGCTCAAAGGGGGAGAACCCAGTAGATTCCTGGGGCACCTCTCTATAAGAAAATGATAGATGAGGCAGGAATCTCTCCCAGTCTCGGCAAGTGTCTGTAAAGGTCCTCAGCGTCTGTTTGAGGGTACCGTTAAAGCGCTCGCAGAGACCGTTAGTCTGTGGGTGGTAGGGTGAGCTAAGTAACGGCTTAATGCCGCACACCTTCCACAGTTGCTGGGTGAGCACAGCGGTGAATTGGGTTCCCTGGTCGGAGAGGATCTCCTTAGGGAACCCGACCCTAGTAAAAATTCTAACCAGGGCATCAGCAACCGTCTCTGCCTCTATGTTAGACAGCGCTACTGCCTCTGGATAGCGGGTGGCATAGTCCACCACGGTAAGAACATACTTCTTACCGGATGGACTAGCCCTGGCCAGTGGACCCACAATGTCAACGGCTATGCGGGCAAAGGGCTCCCCTATAATAGGCATCGATAATAGCCTAGCCTTAGGGTGGTCCCCCCGCTTTCCTACCCGTTGACATGTGTCACACGTGCTGCAGTACATCCGCACAGCCTGGTTAAAGTTTGGCCAAAAGAAGTTCTGTGAAATCCTATAGGCTGTGCGGCGGGACCCTAGATGTCCAGCTAAAGGAACATCATGCCCTATCCGCAGAATCTCCTGCCGGTACTTTGCAGGTACCACTAACTGGCGATTCGGCGGAGTGGCAACACTCTTCTGGGAAGGTTTAGGGATCCTATACAACCTGTCCCCCACCCACTCATACCGTTCCCCATCTATTCCTTCCTCCCCAGCATCTGCCCTGTCCTTGTATCTTTGGAGGGTCGGATCTGCCCGGGTTTCCCTCCCAAACTCCTCTGGGGAATCCCAGCTTAAGGGAACCTGATCTGGGGTACCAGTCGGGGAAGGAGATCTTACCTGGGTCTCGTCAGCAAGTGGGCTGGTTCCAGCAGCACGGGTCTGGGCATGGGTGATCACTGGGTTCACGTCTGCAGGGCCCATCGGAGCATAGGCTGAAACCAAAGGGGCCAAATCGTTTCCCAAAAGAACATCGGCGGGCAAGTCCTTCATCACCCCCACATCCACATGCCTAGCGCCCACTCCCCAATCCAAATGTACTCGGGCAACAGGTAAGCGAAACACGGCACCCCCTGCTACCCTTACTGCCACAGTGTCCCCAGTGTGCTGATGCTCTGAGACCAAGTTCTTTTGGAGCAGTGTCATCGTAGCTCCTGTGTCTCTCAGCCCATTCACCACTCTGCCATTCACCTTCACAGTTTGCCGATGTTGCTGGCGATTATCCTGGTGAGCTGCTTGCACTGGGTCTGCCTCGTGTAGAATGCCCAAAATTCCTCCTGCTCTAGGCAGTGAGCAGCAGGCTGAGGTGGGCGCTGGTTTCCATTAACTGGTCTCCTCCAGGACTGAGCCTGGTTGGCACTGTTCAGTGGGCACTCAGGACGCTTGTGCCCCAACTGCTTGCACCCATAGCACCGGATGGGTTGGGAGTACTCCCGGGCATTAAATCGGGCTGGTTGCATATAATTGTTAGCTGGTGGTGCGGCTGGGGTACGGTGTACTGGGGGTTGGTAGACTGCAGGAGCGGGTGTTACTGCTGGTCGATACTCCAGCCTGGCAGGGGCTTTAGCAGCTGTACCATCCAACTTGCGGGCATCCGTGTATTCGTCTGCCAGACGGGCAGCCTCGGGTAGGGTAGAGGGTTTTCTGTCTCTGACCCATTCCCGGACCCCAGCAGGTAGTCTATCAAAGCAGTGCTCCAGCAGGAACACTTGTAACACCTCCTCCCCAGTTACCGCTTGGCATCCAGCCATCCAGTGGGCTGCGGTACGATGGACTCTGCAGGCCCATTCCACATAAGAGTCCCCAACCAGCTTGTTGGTTTCTCTAAACCTCCGCCTGTACGCCTCTGGGGTCACTGCATACCTGGCTAGGAGCGCCTCTTTCACAGCCCGGTAGCTGGTGATCTCCTCCTCTGGGATGGCCCGAAAAGCTTCACTAGCCCGGCCAGATAATTTCCCAGAGAGGATGGTGACCCATTCATCTGCAGGTACCTGATGTAGTGCACACTGCCTCTCAAAGTCTGCCAAAAATCCATCAATCTCTCCCTCTGTTTCCACGAAATTTTTAAATGCAGCAAAAGGTACCTTCTTTCTGGCAACCACATTATTGTCATACGGTACCTCTGCTGCTGCAGCTCCTCTTTCCCGGCCGCCTGTTGTGCTGCAACTGCTGCCTGCACACGAACCACGATGTCAGCTGAGGGGTTGGGGCCAAAATGTGCCAGCCTTATTTGTACTGCCCGGTTGAATTGTATTTCCTCGGGTGTTAAATCCAAGGTACTGGGCACATTGACTCTTTCCATTCCCGTTGCTGCATCCATCTCCATTAGCAAAGCAATAATCTCCCGTTTCTTTAAATTGCTTGCTGACCTTCCTCGGCGTTCCAATATGTCCTTAAGTGTAGCACGCCTTAATTCCTCGTACTGCATGTCTCGTAGCTGACCTCCAATGCTATAGGATTCATCCCGTCGCTTGCCACCAATTGTTAAGACACCTCCCGTGTCTTTAAGCCAAACCGCCGTTTAGTAAACCTTCCCCGGCTGCAGTACAGTCTCTGTTCGCTTACTCTGTAACCCACGAACCAAATGCAGGGGAAGCGACAATCTCCCGATCGAAATCCACGAACGGCTCCAAACTCCCGAACGGCAATATACGAACTGCTAGGAACCGTCGAACAATAATATCCCCAAAGCGGCTTTCGTTCCATCCAGCAGTCTCTAACCGTGAAGAAGAAATCCCCCCAATAACGAGACAGAAGCTCCGCATTGAGGGTCAAATAAGATCTGGTTTTACTGTGGGCTACCTGCCCGTATTTATGCAGGTCTCCCACCTGGTGGACACTCCCCTAGGGGACCAAATGGAAGACTTAAATTACAGACAGATAGAAGGACATTTCTGACACACAGTCACATCTCTTACCCACAGTGCATTCTGATTCCCTCCCCTCTGTCCTGGAGTTAATTACCAAGTAACTCAATTAACTCCAGGACAAGGACAGTCGCCATTTTAAACATAAAATAATAAAAGACATAAAAATGCATAACTACATGAAAACTGAACATTTCCCATTCGTATTACATGTCCCCAGATAGCCTGGATCTGAGTGCATATTATTAGCGAATAGCGCTCAGATCCCACACACATAGTTCAATCGCCATGGAGTCAAAGTTCTTACAGTCTTTCGGTATACGAATGACTCCATGGGAGGGCTATCTGGGTTAAGTCTTTTGTATGCTCTCAATCTCCCGAACGGCCGGTGTTCGCATGCTTTCGTGGAGGCAGCCAGGCGTTCCCTTGTTTCAGCGGTGTTCGGCAGAAAAAGTGTCCGTTTTCAGTTCCATAGAAATAGAGCCAAACACCGCTGAGCGTTCGCATGATTTAAAATGGCCGCTGCCTCGTGGTCGACATACGAACGACGACCACCCTGAGTTCGGTTTAATTGAGAAGTGTCTGCGGTTAACCACAACGTTATAATGGTGATCACTTCGTTAACCTGCAGCACACTCCTCACTTGGGTGGCCGTTCGTTCGGCAGATTTGTTCGGGAAAAAGAGTCATTCGAATGGCTGGGCTATAGAAACCAGCCATTCATACGAACGGGGACAAACAGACGAACGGGCAAAAATCCAGCAGACAGATGGTTCTGTCACACTTCTGATTGAGCTGCATTGGGAAGTCTGTAATTGGACAGCCAGATTTTTTTAGTTTTGTGGGATTTTGGCAATGGAGTGTCCCTTTTTTCAGACAGCCATAGCCCTTTCATAGGAATGTATGACTTCCAAGATAATCATGTTTTCAAATGTTACTGTTATGGCGATACATTTGCAGCAAATAAGATGATTTGTGTTTTGTTAATGATAGTTTTATATTCCAGAGCTCACAGTAAATTATACTTTTTATACAGTGATATTGCAGTTGCGCAAGTAAACTATACTGATATTAAAAAACTCCTATATTTTAATGCATGAGATAGAATACAATTTAAAAACATGCACAAAAGTATTCTTGTTTTTTCTTGCGCAAAATTGTCTTACGCAAAAATAAGCTTCAAGTTAAAAAAAAAAAAAGCATGCAAAAAATTATTGAGAAACAATAAATCAATATAACAGTGGAAGAATTTGTGTTTGATACAAATACTGAGGTTGGAAGGACCTGATGTGATCTCTGTTGGAAAACTGAGCAAATACTATAACTCTTGGTAGGGTAGGTAAACACAAAGATAACGCACCGCGCTTACAGCAACTTAGTATCCAACAGCTCAAAATACATAGTAAAAACAAAGAGTATGTTACCTGCGCAAATCTAATGGCTAGTGTAAGACTCACCTTTTGGGGCTTGCCTTCACGTGTCAGGTGAGCTTATATTCAAATGGCCTCGATGTTGTTTAAATGTACATGGATTTAGGCCAGAGTGCAGATAACGTTCTCTTTGTTTTTACTTGGTAGGGTAGGTGTTTATAGGAAATGTTCTGCCTCACCTATTAGGAATTTTATTAAAGTACAGACATTAATGAAACTGCTGTACAAGGGAGTATGTCATGATGTGGCCCACTATTACATTATCTTGTTGAATAGCTTTATACTTGTTTTTTATTTGTCTTAAAATTCTCTACAGTTTACTGTTTGCTGCATAAACCCCGGCTCCTTCATATAAATCTATAAAACATCCTGTCAGAGAAGGTCAGACTTTGTATTCATTTTTTTTAAACAGCAAAAATCATCTTATATACTGAGCTAATGAATGTATAAATAAAATTAATTACTCCCTGGGATTTGTTTTTGTTTTTTTTGGTGGGGGGGAGGTTGGGAGGGCGATTAGAGCTATGAGTTCAATTTAAACTGGCAAATTAACAACTTTAATTGTTTATCTTGTTAATTAATTTCATATGGCATCTTATGATCCAAGAGATGCTCACACGCTGCTCTGCTGCTGTCTTGTCAATGGCTGAAGAGGGGTGCCAAGGGGGCTGCTGGGATATTTCTGCACTGATCTCCCAGCTCCTTCACAAACACTCTACTGTACAAAACAGAAGGCAGCTGTGCAATCAGTACAGAGACTGATCCTAGCATCAAGCCACTGGACCGCAGGGAGGAGAAAAAGGGAGGCTGGGTGGACCTCACTGTGAACACTCATCCCCCCAAAAAACTTAATTGAAATAAAATGAAACTCAAGTGTGTGTGAGTGTGTATGCTTGTGTATGAATGTGTGTGTGTGTGTGTGTGTGTGAGAGAGAGTCTTTGTGCGTATATGAATGTGTGTGTATGAGTCTGTGTTGTATACATGTGTGTGTGTATATGAATGTGTGTGTGTATGAGTCTGTGTTGTATACATGTGTGTGTATATGAATGTGTGTGTGTGTATGAGTCTGTATTGTATACATGTGTGCGTGTGTGTGTATAGAATGTATGTGTGTATATGAACGTACTTGCGTATGTGGGAGAATAAATGTCTATGTATATGAATGTAAATATGTGTATATATTTTTCATAACAAAAGAAGGTTGGGAGAGTGCATAGTGAGACGTAAAACAAAATTTTGTGCAAAGAAAATCATGGAAACTAGGTACGCCTCTGCTGCTGACTAACGGCTTGCAACAAGTAATTGCTTTTCTTTTCTTTGAGTCATAGCTAATACATAAATTTCTACATATGTATGGTAGAAATCAATACAATGTTAAAGAATAAAACCTGAAGAGGAAGGTTCTTCATAGTCCCATATTATCTGTAAAGAGAAATTCCCAATATGCAATTATTTCTGGTTGTCTTATGGCAAAATGTTTGGACTACTCCAAGAAGCAACATTTGTAAAAAAAAAAAAAAAAAATGTGCTTGTTTCTCTTTAATAATCAACTTTTATGGCACATTGGGTTTGTTCTGTTTGTCCATAAAATCTGTGTCTCTTGTTGAGAAGTATGGCTATATATTTTGTTGTTTTTCTTAATATTTCATAATTAATATTACCAATTTGTTTTCTAGGGTATCAGTAGCCTATTTAGCTCATTGAAAGTAGTAAGACTTCTTCGACTGGGACGTGTAGCTCGGAAACTGGATCATTACATTGAGTATGGAGCAGCTGTCTTGGTCCTTCTGGTCTGTGTCTTTGGGCTGGCAGCTCATTGGTTGGCTTGCATCTGGTATAGCATTGGAGATTATGAGGTCATCAATGAGGACAACAACACCATAAGAAATGAGAGTTGGCTCGTTCAGTTGGGAACATCCATTGGAACTCCTTATCGTTTTAATTTAACGGGTTCTGGGAAGTGGGAAGGTGGTCCAAGCAAGGATTCTGTTTACATCTCCTCGTTGTATTTTACTATGACAAGTCTCACTAGCGTTGGATTTGGGAATATTGCACCAACAACAGATGGAGAAAAGATCTTCGCTGTGGCCATGATGATGATCGGATGTAAGTACACAGTTTTATCACTGTCATAATCGTGGTAAATAGCAATTACTTCAAGAGCATTGGAACTGGTTGTTCAGTTTTAGCTTATTTGACAAAATAAAAATGGGCTTTATTGTGACAAAAGCCTGGTTGAAAATGGAAACCCTGACTAGATGATGCATTGTCTAAATGGTAGCAGAACAGTATATTTTATGATATGATATTGTCTTGTGTATATATTGGAAGAGTGTAGATTGAATAAAAATATGGAAAGAAGTTCAGTACAATAATTAGTGAAGATTTAACGTCTGTTACTGCTGTATCTAAATTTTAGTTGTTTTAAATACCCTTAGTCTTAAAGACATCTAGATATTAGGAGAAATTAATGGGGATCAATTACAATATTAAACGTTTCTTGGACCCTACACTTTGCAGTGTACTCCATAACTTACGTTGACATGTTCACAAATGTGAAGAACTAATATTTATATGTTAGAAACTATGAGGTCTTATAACAGATATTAGAATTTCCACAAAGCTGTAAAGGCAAATAATTTGATAAAAAAATTTAGTTGAAAAAGTCAAAACCTTGAGATGTTTGAAGTTAGTCCATGTTCAAAGTATCCACCAATTGTCAATTATTCAGGGAAAAAGATAACTTCGCCTGATCTTAAAATGAGTTGACTAAAGACATCTTGAAGTGACCCTTGATGGAAACCACCTGTCAAAAGCTGTCTGTGTTTTATGAGAAATTTAGTTCACACAAAGCACCGACATCAGTCACCATTGATATAATACATTTTTTATACCTTCATGTTGTAAAATGATTCACTTGTGTCTATACATAAATACTAGTTGGCTTGTTATCTGAGTGCTTTTGTATTTTAAAAGGACTATAGTGGCCTTCATATCTGGAAGCACACAGGGACATTTTTTTATAACCTAAAGATAAAGATTTCGATCTCCAGTTCTGGTTTCACTGAGATGACATAGAATCTCAATTATTTATTCTATGGAGAGTAAAGGACAAGATAAGGCAGAGAATGAAAGTAATTACCAGTGATTTCTATTTAATGAAGTTGGGGATTGTCTTTGTTTCTGTCTTGTTAGGCATTTGTGTGGGTTTAATTTGTTCATATTTAACTCTTTGCGATGGATTACAATGCAATTCTGTAGCAAATCAGCATGATACCAGGTGATCTAAGCCAAAAGGATATATGTGACTTTTTTAATATAGAAATGAATTATAGAACTCGTATTAACAGTATTTAATAAATGGGACAATACAGAATT